CAGCTACATCATCAAGGGCCTCAACAAGTATGGCCTGGCGTACGCCCACCTGGTGAGGGGGTTGGAAAGGGGGTTGGTTTATTTCGGAGATGACAGCCTGTCTCTCTCTTGTGTATGGCGTTGTCGTGTGGTTCATCATGGATTTGGGGCCGAAGCGGTAAGACGAGCTTGGTGTGGTGCGGAGGCCCGGCCGCCGCGTTGGTTGCCTGCCTGCCCTGCACACGCCCAGGGTGGGTACCTGGCAGTCAATCAAGACGTTGGTTGCCTGCCTGCCCTGCACACGCCCAGGGTGGGTACCTGGCAGTCAATTCAGACGTTGCTTGACCGCAAACAGCAAGAACCTGCAACGCAACCAATCCAGGTGGAGCCCCGCGTGCTGGGCAACACGGACGTTGACGCCGCCGACGGCCAGACGCTGCAGCCCTTCCGCGAGGTGCGCCAGCGGCACGCGTAGGGGGCGTACGCGCCGCCGCTGCGAGGCGCCTCCTTGCTTGACGCCGTGCTCGTGCACCTGCTTGATTCGTTTGGCAGTGCGACGCGGCGGGCACCTATGTGTGTGTTTTTGCTGTCGCAAGCGGACGGATTCAGGCATGTACATGCCCATTCACGCACATCCGCACTTGTGCGCGACCTGTCATCATCCAGGCGTTTGACGGGCCCTTCATCGCGGCGGGCGGCTTCAAGCCCGACACTGCGGCGGAGACCGTGGGCACGCACGCGGCGGACCTCGTGGCCTTCGGCCGCTGGTAGGTTCCTTGACTTGCCAAGCTGATGCATCGTCAAAGCCCTCCAGCGCTGCACTCAATACACCCTCGCTCCCACTAACTGCATCGCGCAGCACCGCCCCCACGCTACATAAGTCAGCAAGCTCTGACTCACCACCACGAACGCTCAGTGCCCAAAAGCCCCACGGCAGCACCCTCCTGCGCCTCGGCCCTGTGCAGCTGCTTATTGCCCACCCTCCCCCCTCTGCAGGTTCCTCTCCAACCCCGACCTGGTCAGGCGCATCAAGCTGGGCGCCCCCCTCACCAAGTACAACAGGGCCACCTTTTACACCCAGGGTGCGCCACTGCCTAGATGACTCAAAATTTCACATCGGTTCATCTTGCATCCGGTTGATCAGGGGGACCTTTCTACAGTCTGGTCTGTGACCAGGGGCTGCGCCTGGTGTGCAGCTGCGGCGGTTGCCGGCCCAGCTCCCACGCCCATCTTTTGGTGCTCCACCGCGCGCTCCCATGCACCCCGACTGCGGCGCAACGCTCTCAACCACTCACACACCTCTGCCCCCCCCCCTCCCCAGACCCCGTGGTTGGCTTCACTGACTACCCTTTCCTCACGTGAGGGCACGCGGGCTTGTGCAGGCAACGGCGCACGCGCCTGCGCCCTAAGCTTGGCCCCGCAATTGCGGCTGAGCCGCAGTGCGCGTTGCATTGATGACATCACTTGTTCCAACTCCTTTTGCCTGACGCGTCTCACTTGGGTGCTCGGTTCTTGGGCTGGTCAGGACAGCACAGATCCGCATTACGTGTGACGTCACATGGTGCAACCTCGCCAACTTTCCCGCAGTGAGGAGGAGGTGCAGGAGCTCGAGAAGAAGGCTGAGGCGGCTGCCTGAAGGCCGCGGTATTGCACTGCAGCACTGCGCTACCAAAGCGCGGCGCAGCCGAAGGCACGTGCGACCAAGCACACACGACACCTTGCATGCACCTAACCTTGCACGCATCTGTTGCTGACCAAATTGGCAGCTGCATGCAATGCTGTGCACACTCGACCGCATTGTGGCGCCACCATTCGCGCGCCACAAGGGGCACCAACCACTAAGCTGCCAGGAGCACATCCAACCTGCCCTCCGTGGCAGGTTCGCAGTGCTTACAGCTCCACATACCGTTCGCACGTGGGTCTTTGGCTCTCTTCACTTCATTTTTCCAAAACGGCGTGATTCAGAGGGGCTCAGTCGGACTGCCATAACTGAGTATATATTGAGACTTGTGCCATTTGGTGGTCCCTGACATGCAGGGAAGATTACTCGGAGGGGCCGCGCCTGTGGCAGCTGTAAACTTGCACAAGTTCGTGACGTGGCAGCAGACATGATATATCTACATTATACCAGTCTCAGCCATCGAGAAATGCTGCAACTGGCAATCAATATGCCGTGCAAGGCTGTAATACACAAGGTCAAGAACCCAACAACAGTAAGCAAACAATAGAAGACTGCAAGAAGTGAGAAGCACATCACTGTACCATACTGCATTGCACGGAAACATGAACGTAACCAATGTGCAGATGAGATGGTTGCTAGCTCACAAAGCAGCCCTGTCACGGTGCTGGGTGCAACAACACAACAAGAAGGCCCTGCACAGTTGTGTGTGATGGCTGCAATAAAATATATAGCAAGGTAGATTAGGGATGCCCACTGTACCAGATTACTTAGAGCTACAGGTTTCAGGGTCCCCAAGATGTCTTACTAAGATACGCTTGATCTGCGATCGTTCAACACAGTGTGCAGCTGCTGCGCCGCATGGAGTGCAGGCGCTAAGCTGGCAACGCACAGATGCCAGGTGGCTTGCAAGTTTAGCAACCAACCTGCAGCCTGCAGCACATGCCGGGTCGTAAATTGGGCAGTGCCCCGCCTTCATGCAGCCACCACCCCTGGCATCTTTGCGAGTGCCTCCACCTCTTCCTCCCTGCGACATGCGGGTGACAGCTCGTGATGTCACGCAGTGCTGCTGTGACAAACCACTATTCCAAGCCCGCTGGCGCCCCAAGTGACACGCCCGGCCGGCCCTGAGTCTCGTGTACTAACACATGCTGACAATCCAGCACAGCCCGCGCACGGATTGCGCCTTGGCCTCGTGCGCCCGCGGGGTCAAGCTCAGCGCACAGTTGCGTTCGTCCCCCACCCCTTCCCCTTGGCCAGGTCACACGTCTCTCACGTTAGGAAGGGGTAATCAGTGTAGCCGACCACCGGGTCTGGGCAGAGATTAAGATATTGTGGCACAGTGCGTGAGGGGCACGGGGTGCGTGGGGCAGGGCAGTGTACAGGCAGAGTGCATGAGGGGCGAGGCTTGGGGCAGCCAAGGTGGTGCGAGGTCCGTCTAAAGCAGCCAGCGCTGGTAATAACGGGCAGTCTCATCTCCCATATCAGGTATTTTGATCCCTGGGATCTTGCCATCAGGAGACGGCCCACCCTGGGTGTAGAAGGTGTCCCTGTTGTACTTGGTGAGGGGGGCGCCCAGCTTGATGCGCCTCACCAGGTCGGGGTTGGAGAGGAACCTGCAAGGGCGACCAACCAGCAAACAATAATGTGCTTCTTGGTGGGTGTTTAAAACTTCAAGCACATGTGTGTGTGTGTGTGTGTGTGTGTGTGTGTGTGTGTGTGTGTGTGTGTGTGTGTGTGTGTGTGTGTGTGTGTGTGTG